GATTGTTAGTGCTGTTCAAGAGGCCAGAGAGTTGTACGGAGATATTCCTGTCATGGTTACAGGGCATTCCATGGGAGGTGCTATGGCTTCCTTTTGTGCACTTGATCTTACTGTAAGTATTCTATTATTAACTTCTCTTTTACAGTTATTACATTATAGTTTTTTTCAGCATATTATTGTTAGATTTTTACAGCATATTAATGTTGGATTTCGGTTACTCTTATATGAGTACTGAATCTGTTCCTGTGTGAATTGCTTCCAGACGAAGTGTACATCATAAATGCACTTCACATCCTTTGTTGGGATTCTATTCTGGATTTTACTGCTTTTTGGTTATCATTGCAAAATTTGACAGCACTTCACATCATAAATGTACATCATAAATGCACTTCACATCTTTGGCATAGAAATCAACTTTTTACAATAATGTTTTCCACTGTGACCCTGTCAACCACAATGTTGTCAAGGTAGTTACTTGTTGGGATTCTATTGTGGATTTTACTGCTTTTTGGTTATCATTGCGAAATTTGACAGCAATAATCATCTTTGGCATAGAAGTCAACTTTTTACAATAATGTTTTCCACGGTGATCCTGTCAACCATAATGTTGTCAAGGTATTTACTTGATGGGATTCTATTGTGGATTTTACTGCTTTTTGGTTATCATTGCGAAATTTGATGTCAGTAATCATCTTTGGCATAGGAAGTCAACTTTTTACAATAATGTTTTCCTTTGTGATCCTGTCAACCATAATGTTGTCAAGGTAGTCACTTGTTAGTCTCTACCAGTTTCTTTCCTGTGGAAGGCATTTTCAGATTGTTGTGGAGGATAGAATCTCTAGCAAGTTATGCAATGATAGGTTCCTTCCATGTTATGGATCTTGAAATTCCATTTCAATTGGAGCATGTGCGGTTAACTGTCTCACACTATAAATTAATTAATTACGCCTTGTCATTTGGTCTAATCTAGCCTTGGTTCTTAAAATAATTCTTTTCATGCCTGTATCTCTTCTAGGACATCGGTTCAAATGTTTGGCTTTCTAGGGCATCAGTTTCCTCTTAAATGTTTGAAAGGATTGGTGTCCTTTCTTCACAGGCATTTTTCTGGAGTAGAACAAAGATTTTATAAGAAGGATTGGTCTTTTTTTTTCATGACTTTAATATTAGATTTGTAGTAGGTGCTAGAGCTCGACTTCTATTTCATTTTAGCAGTTTTTTAAGGCATATGTTTATTTTATAGGTCAATTACGGAATACACAATGTTCAACTCATGACATTTGGACAACCTCGAGTGGGAAATGCTGCTTTTGTGTCGTACTTCAGCAAACACGTGCAGAATGCAGTTAGAGTTACCAATGAGCATGATATTGTGCCACATTTACCACCTTATTATTCTTACTTTCCCCAAAAGACATACCATCACTTTCCAAGAGAGGTAAGTGAGTCGAGTTCTGTGTCTTTTTGCCATAGTATTTTGATTTCAAGTTTGGTTTTAAACTACATTGGGGTTTAGCCATATATTCCAAAGATGTTTTCTTTTTCTTCTAACTTTACTGCTAGATTCTGAATCTGCACCTTGTAATCAAATTGCTTTCTTTTGAAGACCATGATGAGCACTTCATTTTAATGCACTAAGCATAGCGGATCTTACTTGCCTTCACCATTTCAATCAGCCAATCTTCGCCGAGTGCTCTTTCTAACAATTGGCTTTGATACTGATACGTTTCATCTTTTAATTCCTGAATGTTCTATGTTTTTTTTTGTGTTTGCAGGTATGGGTCCATAATGTCGGAATAGGCAGTCTTGTTTATATGATCGAGAAGGTTTGTGATGGTTCTGGTGAAGACCCTTCTTGCAGCAGGTACATGCTAGGTTCCATCGGCATCTGTATTTCAATTTGGTGTGTGATGTTTATGATTAACATCGGCATCTGTATTTCAATTTGGTGTGTGATGTTTATCATGTTAATCATCTTTTGTCGTGCTGTCCAAAGGTCTGTAAGTGGGAACAGCGTATCAGATCACCTGGCATACTTTGGTATCGAGATGCAGGCAGATACTTGGGGCACCTGCAGAATCGTGTTCCATGGCAATATGGTGCAGTACCAAGTAGACCTTGCAGGAAACATCGTCTTGTCAAAGCGGCCTGGGGTTTCATCAGTTCTACAACAAAGTGTAGAAGCAGATAAAAGTAGGAATGCCATTTAGCATTGTGAGGAAAATTGTCAAACAAAGCGAGAATAACATCCTCCCAATAGCCCCATGATGAAATAATAGAAGATCCAAAAGATTAACTACTTGTACATAGTTATTATGGTTGCAAGTCCTCACAAAATTGCCAAAGCTGTATTTGTATATATATATACATACACACTGGATGGGCCAATCAAGAAACACTGATTTGTACTTTCTGGGTTAATGATTTAACATGATATTGTAGAATAAGTCTCTCTTTGCCAGATTGTGTGAATTTACTTGTTGTGAAGAGTGTTTTTGTAACTTATCACCTGTCACAAGTGAGTATTGTGTTCCTACCAGGAATGATAACCATAATCCAAGCTCAGAACTATGTGAGTCAAATCCTCAAAAGGAGTATCCTAAAGGGATTTTTATTCTTTTCTGGGTGTATAGTGACTCAAAACTCATAGCTAATGTAGAAACTATTCGTTAATTCTCTTTGAATGTAAGTTGACAAATGTATAGTTCACTAAAAATTTTCTACTCATTTAAGAGTAAATCAGATTAAGATTTCGTGTATTAACTGCTCGCTCATTATTTAGTACTTTTTTCTAAAATAAAGAAGATTGATCTTTTTTCCAGCTTACTCATACGATAAATCAAATTACGATTTCACCTATAACATATCTCAAATTGAATCTTTTGTCAACCTTGTTTACGATAAGTTAATCTAAACATATATAAGATTTACGTTATTCACTCGATAATAATACTTAGACGTAATCTATGGGGCTAATTATAAATTATTCTTGTAGTTAGCTATCATTAACTTTTCGGTTTTTACACTTTAAAAAATTACATTGACATATGTATAGTTATAAAAATGAAACATCTGGATCCATTTACCTTGACGTCATTAGTTTTAATAACAAAAATAAAAAATAAAAAAAATATAATTTTAACGTTTCAATCGGTAATAGCGGATGTGGCATCACTAGGGGCTTTGGATAGCTATTGTGGATGAGAAAATGATGGTGAGAGATGTGGCATCTGTGTCGGTGCCGACATAGTTGTTGAGTGGTGAAAAGGTTGTTCGATATATGCATCAACTTGATGCAAATGTAGAGCTACCCTCACCTCTCGTCGTCGCCCTCCTCATCCATGATAGTCATCCGTGGCCCTTAGCGACGTTGCTGTTTGCCTCCATTAACACTATTCGTCACCACTGATATCGTTCCTCATTGATAATGGCGTTAAAATTATCTTTTTATCTTTTATTTTATATTTTTATTAATAAAATTGATGATGTTAGGATAAATAAATATAGATATTTTATTTTTATAATTATATAGATATTAATATAATTTTTTAAAATATAAAGATCGAAATATCAACACAGTTAAGTACGAGTAGTAATAGGTAATTAGCTTCGGTCTCTGCGTTTGTCATTCGACCTGATCGAGGACTTCCATTAAGTTTGACATAGTAGACATGGCAGGACATGTGTTCCGACAAAGACGAGGGATTCTACCAACCTGAGCAAACTCGTCTAAGACAGTCATCATTGTGTTCTTCCATGCCTCCTCGTGAAAAAGATCAGATGCTCACGTATCATTCATGTTTTCTTTTACGTGAGTAGATCACTGTTGCAAAAATTTCTCGTGAAAGCAGTGGGGTTCAACAGTTCTTACAGGAGATAAAAGGAGACATTGAGTACCGAGAACTTGTGCACATCATAATTACTTTTAATCTTTTCATCTCTCATCCTCTCTTAATCTCTTTTGAAAATTCAATTTCCCTTTTGGATCTCTCTATTTAATAAAAGATTCTTAAATCAACTTCTTATCTAAATACAAATTTCAATTTAGATTACAATGGGAATATCTGAAAAGGCTATATTTGATTCCTCTATATATATATATATATATATATATATATCTTCTTGCAGTGCTTATACTTTCTAATATTTATCAGTTACTGCTACCATTTAATTATAGATTTTATTAAATAGAGTTTATAGAGTTTTCCTTTTATAACTGTGCATTAGCTATCACGTCACTCTTATCTGAAAAGCACAAAAAAAATATTCTCATCATCCTAAATTGGTAGAAAAGTACAAATTTTTTTTATGACTGTATACACTTTCATTCTACAGGAAGAAAACGCAATCATTATTTTGTTATTTAAAAGAATAATTATTGCAACGACACCAACACAAGTAAAACTTTAACTATTCGGATCTCTAAATTCTTATTCATAATTTCTAATAATAAATTTCGTTCTATCTCTTCTTGTTGTGTCGTTAGTCCTATTTGTTATCATTAGCACTGTTTTATAGCAAGATATTATTTTGAATGTTTCTCCCTCTAATTATTCAGGAATTAAAATATTTTCTTATCTTTTCTATTAGTTCTAGACATCATCTTAATATTTTATTCTCAGTAACATAATAATAATAATAATAACAACAACAACAACAACAACAATAATGACCTCTTAAGAAATGACCTCTTAAGAATACAGATCAACCTCTTGAAAATGACTCCCAACCACCAAGCCAAAGCCACTGTTCCCCACAATCTGATGCTTAGTGGGTGGGTGACCAATGAGGGTCTGGTAACTTCAATAGGATCGAATTCTGTCAGCTTTTTTTGTCTCACATGTCGTTGTCACGTTCACCAATTCTTTACCGACCATAAAAGAGGAAAAGATTAATGATAATAATAATAATAATAAATAGTAATGTGGAACAACACCGCAGACATTTTTGTCTGACTTGGTGGTGAAGTGGGGGACGTCTTCCCTACACATTCAGAGAATCTCGATCTGAAGCATATCAAATACCTGAGTCGGAACCGTTGGAGATGCACACGGGAGCCCCATCAACCATTATTGGAAGCTCCCTCTCAGTTGAAAGGGAGGAGATGGAGGAGGAGAGGAGCAAGCAGCACTTCGTTCTCGTCCACGGGATCGGCCATGGCGCGTGGTGCTGGTACAAGCTCACCGCGCTGCTGAGGTCGGCCGGGCACACCGTCACGGCGCTGGACCTTGCCGGCAGCGGCGTGCACCCGCAGCGCCTGGACGAGGTCCGCTCGTTCGGGGACTACGCCAGGCCGCTGATGGAGGTGATGGCGTCGATCCCGCCGCGGGAGAAGGTGGTACTCGTCGGCCACAGCTACGGCGGCGCCTGCGTTGCGCTCGCCATGGAGAGATTCCCTGAGAAAGTGCTGGTCGCTGTCTTCGTCGCCGGCATCATGCCAAGCCCCGCCTGCTCCGTCGCCAGAATTGCAGAAGAGGTACGTCTCGCGGCCGCCACACCTTCAATCTATATACTTAGAAAGAGAGAGAAAGCGAGATGACGAATCCTTCCATGTCGTGCCAGTTCTTCAAAGGACATCCACTCGAAGCCTACATGGATTCCACGCTCGTAGTCCGTAAAGATCCCCTGAGCATTTGCTCGGTCAGCTTCGGATACAACTACTTGTCGACGAGGTTGTATCAGCTCAGCCCGCCGGAGGTAAAAGCTCGGAAGGAACCCTGAGCTCCTCCAGCTCTTGTGCTTCGTCTAAGCCTCCTCTTCTACCTCCCGTAGGACCTGACGCTGGCGACCATGCTGGTGAGACCGGCGAGCTGCTTCCTCGACGACGCGAACGAGATGATGCAGCTCACGGAGGAGAGGTTCGGGTCGGTGAGACGGGTGTTCATCGTGTGCAAGGAGGACAAGTCCACGAGCGAGGCCTTCCAGCTGTGGATGATCCAGCGCAGCCCGGGGGCGGAGGTGATGGAGATCGAAGCCGCCGATCACATGGTGATGCTGTCGAGGCCCCGCGAGCTCTTCAGGCTCCTCGTGGAGATCGCCGTCGAGCATGGATCGAGAACTTCCTCCCATGATTTGCCTCGACCACGTGGTGGGGGCCGCCTGAGGTAAGCTTGGCATTGCAAACCCCCAATCCGTTCGGCGAAAGCTCTGATTGAACACCCAAAGTTCGATGCGACATGAACATTGTCTTCTTCTCGATCTCATCAATTCTTGGATTACCCCCACGCATTCTGGTGTACTCATTTGTGGAATGCATCCGAGGCATACATCATTGTTC